AGGTTTTTCGGGCAACCTCACATATCTTCGCACATGTGATTTGACATTTTTAACCGCTTTTGCTATATCTTCTTTTTGAGAGGTCTTATATGATTGATGTTTACATTCTGATCATGATGGCATGATCATTTTTGCTATCGGACATCTTTTTGAGTGACTTCGTGCACCGTTGTATGTCAAGTCCTTTTTTTGCGACCCCACATCAATCGATTATCAAATGCCTTTATCTTGACCATTAGATATATTTTAGGGGTCAATAGTTAGACTGGGAGGTCACATGGGAGAAAGAGGCTGAAATGAGATTATTCTATCCATACCTCTTTTGATTACTAATTAGTAGTGAATGTCATGGACGATGTTATTCTAAGGATGGGAGGATGTAATGATTGCGCGAGCACTTTTACAATGTGTAGTGACTTAATTCAAATATAGTAAAACTTGTATGTTTAAGTGATATTTATTGATTCTCTGTGAATTATCAATGATGTATTAATTTTTCTAGTTGAATTTAGAAGAAAATTTTAATAAGTTCAAAATGACACAGAAGGGCGCTATAGCATTAAAGTGTTGGCCCTTAGACATTGTCATGTGGAATATGCTAATTTCTCTATTTAAAAAAAAAAATTAATGAGTGGGAAGCACCTCTTGGTGGCACCGCGGCCCTGTCATATTAGCACTGCGACGTAAATCTCTTTATTTAAATACCAAAATCTAGCCCCTGGCAGTGTTACGACGCTGAAGATATGGTGCCGTGATGCTAGGTAAAATATTTTATATAAATATGTATTATTTTCATTTCATTGGTTTCCTTCATTGGGACAAGAGGAGAAGAGGAGAAGAGAAAAAGAATGTTGAGAGAAGCTAGGCTCGGAGGTCTTAGAGCCGATTTCATCCATCAATATAATTGAGAATGTTATTCATATTGAGGTGGTTTATCGTTGTCCTATTTCATATTTTAATTTTTTAGCTCTTGTATGAAATTTTGGTTTTTTATTTAGTTAGATTCCATACAAACTCAAATTTATAAATATTGGAAATAGTTTTATCATATAACTTTTAGTATGTTGTAGAATAAAATATTTTGGATATATTAATATGTATAAATTAAATTTTCGCTAGGTATTCTGATTACATGACATTTCAGGCATTTTAATGAGCGTATTGAGATTAATAGACATTACAATAGAAAAATAAAAGTTTCAAAAGTTGTGGATATTGCATGTGAATAGTCTCATGATTTGCAATTGCAAAATGTGTGTATTAGTTTACCCTTGTGAAACCCTATTTTTTGTTGTACATGTGAAATTTTATATAGCTCTATGACATGTTAGATATTGTTTATACACGTTGAAAGCATTGATATTCCTATGCTCATGTGTCTGAAAATGCATGAAAAAGAGAAAGGAGGAGAAATTGCGGGTAAGTCATTATTGGTATTTTATGTGCATTACGCATATTTTTGTTATATAATAAGTATTGTTTATACATATTAAAAGTACTAATATTTATGAATAAAGAAAGGATTTTTCTTATGATTTTATTGATCTTGAGGAGGCATATGATCGAGTATCACGAAAATTGATTTGGTGTGTTTTAACGTAAGAAAGAGTGTGTTAAGTAAATATTGTATGATGGAGCACTAACTAGTATTATAAGTAATTATACAGTAACCCAAGAGTTTTCAATTACAATAGATTTACTTCAAAAATCAACATTGAGTCCATATCTTTTTATATTGGATATGAAAATATTAATTAAAAATATCCAAAAGCTAGACGTCTTAGTCATTATTTCTTACAGATAATATAGTTTTAATGAGTAAGACACTCACTAGAATAAGTGAAATTATGATAGACGCTTTAAAATTAGTAGAACAAGGCCTGATTATATAATATATAAGTTTAGTAAGAATGATGATAAAAATTACCATTCAATATATTTAGAAATGATCTTTCTTTATTAAATTTATATAAGAATTTGACTCTTAATAGGACACCATGGAGAAAAATGATTCATGTAGCTGACCCCACATAGTCGGATAAAGACTTATTGTTGTTGTTGTTGATAAAAATTACTATTCAATATATTTAGAAGGTAAGGTGCAGACAAGGATATAACTTTTAGAGTTAATGTTGGATGGTTAAAATGAAGAAGTGCTTCAGAGTTTCCTCTGATAAGAAGATATTAATAAGACATAAAGATAAATTTTATAAAATTACAATCCAGCTGATGTATTATATGGACCTGAATGTTGAGCTAAGAAAAGCAATTTGTATCTAAATTTAGTATGATAAAAATGAAAATGTTAAGATGAATTTATACTAAAACTAAAAAAATTAAATGATTATATTAAAAGAAAATTTAGAGTGGCAGCTATTTAAAATAAGATAATAGAAATTGTATTTAAGTGGTTTCAACATGTACAACGAATGGAAAAGATGTCCCTATTGAATGAGTTGATAAAATTAGTATGAGAGGAATAATAAGGCAAATAGGATGGACTTAAGGTTACATGGATAAAAGGTATTCAAAATAATTTGTGAAGAATAAGTTTAATACCTTAAACATTATTCAATAAGAACAAATAAAAAAAAAAGAGGTTTAATAATGCCGACTTCAAAGGGTTGGCATAAATCTAATGATGATAAGAATGTTGAAGAGAATGGATGGTTTTGATCCTGTATTTGAAAATTATAATATCAATGTCTAATTGGGTAGAATGTTGAAAGCACGAAAGTGGCAATGTTCTCATCTTCTATAAGGATTCTTGTTTCATCGCTTGAAGATTACCTTAGATCAGAGGGTTCTTGTGTGTGTGTGTATAAGAGATGAATCCTGACCTCACTTTGGAGCAATGGAGATAGTACCATTGAGTCAAGTGCTAATTATTAAAAATATCCTTAAAATCTAACTGTACTAAAAATATCCAACAAAATTCCACATGTTGTATATCAATAATTATAATAGAAATAATTCATTTGGCCAAATACAATATGACTTCCCTATATAAATTCACTGACATATCACATTTTCAAACACCTTAATCATTAATTTGAAGCAGAATAGATCAAGTGTATGGAAAATTATAAGGAGTGGTGCAAAGGCTCTTAAACCGATTATAAGAGGAAAATTTTCAATGGAGAATGTGTGAATGTCATGAAGGATGCATGGATTCTAGACAAAGCATTATGTAAATGGCCTACTTTCCTTGATAATCTACAAATTAATGATTTATCTGTAGATTATTTTATTAGTAATGGCGGTTGGAATATAGAAAAACTACAGGATGTATTTGGGAAGGAACTACTTCAGATTATTTGTAAAATTAAAATTGAACAAGAGGCTGGTAAAGATCAAATGGAGTTGATTTTTCAAAATTCTGGAGAATCTTTGGCAGCTTTATCATTTGAAGCTTTGTTAAATGATTCAAATGGGGGAAAATATTGGACTTGGCTGAAGAAAATCTATCTTAATCCAGAACTGAAGTTTTTTGGTGGAGATTATACCATAAAGCTATTCCAACTTTTCATTTCCTGGAATATAGAAGACTAAAGGAGGGAAGCTTATGTCCAAGAGGATGTATGGAAATTGAAGATATCAAGCATGTGACGGTGAGTTGTGATAAACTGATTCAAACTATAAAAATTTTGAATCAATGGGGCATTCAAATTCCTATTTTTCATAGCTATGCTGAGTTAATTTGTTGGTTGGAGTATAATGCTACCAAAAAAACATTTCTCACCGATGTGTATTGTACTTTGGTGTTTCTTTGTTGGAAGTCTAGAAATAGATTAATTCATGAGGATAGCAATTTAAATATTGCATCCAATGCTCGTGGTATGACTTCAATTTCTATTTCCAATAGAAATAAATCGGGCCTATGGGATGTTAATCAACCATCTCGGTTGTTTAAAAAGTCTTGGCATCCTCCACCAACCGATTGGATTAAAATCAACGTTGATGCTTCATTGTTATCTTCTTATAAAGCTGGAATGGGAGCTATTTGCCGAGAACATCAAGGAAGGTTTCTCTTTGCTTTTGGAAACAAAGGTATTCATTGGGATATTGCTCGTCTTGAATTGGATGCTATTTTCTCTTTACAAAGTATTATCAAGGATTGGATCACTCAATACAAAGGTATTATCATTGAAGGAGACAATGAAAATGTGATTAAAAGCATTCAAAACAATATCAACAAGAAGGGGTTGCATAAACCGGAGATTGATGTAAGGTTCTCTTCTTTTATCAAGGAAGTTAATCTTGTTATTTTCAATTATGTTAGTAGGGAGAGCAATAAGTTAGCGGACATGTGTGCTAACTATGCTATTAATGGGGATTTTGCTTGGGATGATCATAGTATGGAACATATTCCTCCTCCATTTTTTCTTTTATTAAAGGAGGAATGTGAAGTTTTTAGCTTGTATTAGGTTCTTTTCATTTTAATGTTAATGCTTCATGCATCTTTCAAAAAAAAATTAATCATTAATTTGAAGAATCATCTTAAATCATACCACACAATTCCAATCTTAGCGGTGAATTTATACTCCAATCATTGGAAATATTCAGAGGGTGCGCGTTTGATAAATACAGAAACATTAAGATAGACATTGCAATGCATTAACAAAGTTGCTACAAAAAAAAAAAAAAAAGAAACCGTAAACCTTCTGGCTTTTAATGATTTCAAAACAATACAGCGTGTAAAACTAGGCAGACATAAAATTCTGAGCAGAAGACTAGAATCTACCCCACCCAACTCTACTATCTTCAAGTCACCCTATAAATTAACTCTCATATCTTAGCTTATAAAAGAATAAGGAGATTATGTAAATTAACATGAAACAGGGAGGCATACATAATTTCCACCAAGCCAAGTTTGAAAGTACCAACAATACAATAAAATGTAAAATTCTATCAAATGAATTTAAAATGGCCTATCATAACAATATTATCCCTCAGTACTTGAAAGAATAAATTCAGCATGCAAAAGGCTCAAATCAAGGAGAATAACAACCTTCTAAAAAATAGGTAAAAGGAAAATTCTTTGGAAATTGTAAGCAAAAGAACATATACAAGCCCTATGGGATTTTCAATCATCTGATTTCCTCCAACACAGATGTTTCTTACCCAAATAGAAAATGTTGAAAGCTCATCAACCCACATAAAACCAAATGCCTGTGAGCCATCCCCAATGTTATTTTTATTAAAAAAATCTATCAGTTCTTAAAATTAAAGAGTGCCCCCTCAATGAACTGCTCCTTCTCAAACGATGAAGATTTTCTTCCCTGAAGTGAGAAAAAAAACCAGGATGCTGGATGACTGAAGCTTCACAAACAAACTTGTCGAAGGTAGCAAGAATTTAACTATAACTAATTTGGTGTTCTTACTTCAAATCTTACTGTAGATAAAACATATTAGAAAGGAGGGACTTAGCACTTAGATTCTAATTAACCGTCAACAAGAAATCATTAAACTCGTATATCACAACCAATATAAAAGGGTTGAATACCTTTGAACTCTCCTGATCCCACCTCGTCACAACATGATGACCTTAGCTCCCGCAGCTTTCATTTTCTCAATAATCTGTTCCGCCTCTTCCTTGGACACTCCACTCTTTATCACTGATGGACTCTTCTCCACTAATTCCTTGGCCTCCTTCAAACCTAAGTCCGTAAACGCCCTCACCTCCTTGATAACCTTGATCTTGGATGCCGCCTCAAAAGATTCCAGCTTTAGCTCAAATACCGTCTTCTCTGGCTTCTCTTCTTCCTTCACGGCAGCCTCAGCCCCCAAACCAGCAGAGACAGCACCAGGTAAAGTAGCGCCGGGCTTCATGACACCGATGACGGGAGGCTCACTCAAGGCCGCCTTCCGCATGAGGATGGAAGAGAGCTCAGCGACCTCTGCGAGTGTGAGGGAAGAAACCTCGTCAACAAGGCGCCATACGCGATCGGACGGCGGGGTGCGGTGCTCTGTGGGATCAAAATTGGAGGGATTGTAATCGGCTGGGAGCTTTCTCTGGTCGATCATCTCAAGCTCCTCTGCCCCGGAATCGTAAATCTTCGCCGGCAGGGAATAGCACCGAAGTTGGGAAATTGATGACGGGCTCCGCGAAATGAGGCGGTGCCCCGCCAATCTCAGGAGTGAGGCCATTTCTTCTCTTAGCCACGGTGACAACGCTAGGTTTAGGGCTTTGACGTTTGAGATAGCATCGATGCAGCGAAGGACAGGGAGAGCTGACGGCTAAGTAGCGGAACCTTTGTGCAATACATATCTAACAATATATTTAAGAAAATTATTTCTAAATTATTTTTTTTTATCAAAATGCTCCTAACGAGAGAAAATTATTATGTCCGGTGATCGGATTCATCCGGACATCAATCCAACGTGCCACATCACCCAAATACACCTGGGTCCAGTGTATTTTGGTGACGTGACACGTCTATATTGGGTGTCCGAACATCCAGTTACCGGACATAATAATTCGTCGCTAACAAGACAAGATTCATTTGGGACAAAAATTAAACTTTAAAAAAAAATTGGAAAGAGATCCCGAACCAAGTCATAATCTCCTAAATAAATAATTTGCAAAATTTAAGAAACATGGTCTTATTTTTTTATAGTTTTTTTTTTTTTTAGATGTTGAGTTTATTTAAGTCAAATTTAATCAATTCTTTTCTTAGTTAATTAAGATTATAATATTTTTAATTTTAATATAATTTTTAGAGAATTTATTGTGAAGAGAAATTAGGTAATTCTACCATCATATCGACAAGCTGATAGTGAATGAATATAACTAGCCCATCTAACATACAATGATATTGGCTAGGAAATAGTTTCAACATTTTAAGTAAGGGTGTAAGTGAGCTAGCTTGAACTCAGCTAGTTAACGAGCTTATTGAGCTACAAATTTGAGTTCAAGCTTAAATTATGGAGAAATTATTCTAAGTGATTACAGGATGACGTCTAGAGGCAAATCAGGATATGCTACATCACTTTTTAGATGTGTACTAGTGTTTTGAACCACTGCATACTAGGTGACATGACGAATTCTGTTTAATTTCCCTAAATTATGGCTCGTATATTATACTAGCTTGAGTACAAACTCGGCTTAGCTCATTGGCTCTTTGGCTTGTCAATAATGGCGAACCCAAAAATTTCTTATAGGGGAACCAACTTAATTTTTTAAAAACATCCCTCAACTTTTTCATCCTTTCTTGGGATTGGCATTACCAATTTTAAAATATCTTTTTGTTGAATTTATTATTTTTAGAAGGCAAAATATTAAATATAAGATGAAAAATATTTATAATTTATAGCATATACTCCTCACATTCTGAAAAATATAAATAATAACTTCATTATTAATGCAATCTAATGTTTCTTTCCTAATATAAGTGGCTAAAGTGTCATTCATCCACTGATCTCCTGTGGTCGCAACGTGTAACACTAATCACAATTTTAATAAACTAAAAACAAGGGGATATAAAGTATCTATCAATTATCTCTGTAAAATTACAAACTTATTGTCACAACCTGACCTGATATGACTAGATATCACGAGGTCATATAATGCTTGATTATGACAAGCTTGACCCCAAGATCTGATTGGAGATGTACTTAAATAAAATATTCTAATTTATATACAACATAGAGTCACTATTGAATACAATATAAAGTGGAAGACTACTAAATCTAAAAAAATGATTTTCTATATATCATCCAAAAATACATCTACAATAGCGCTTGGCAATAACCAACAAAACAAATAAAGGCCAATCTTGCAAAAATCAACTAACAAAAATATACTTATAGCACAAATTAGAGCCCAATATCCACAATTACTCAGCTTGCACCTTACCCTTCCCCTGGCCTGAAAAAATGGAAGCAGAAGTAGGATTGAGCCAACACAGCTCAATAAGCTATTGAAGACTAAAGCATAAATTAATAACTAAAACCAAAGGAAAAATTTAAATATTATGCTGTAAAATAAACTAAAGAATTGTACAAAAAAATAAAACTAAAAGTGAAGAAGAAGCTTAAACTAAACTTCATATAAGCATTTAAATAATTTTGAAAGCTGTATTAAAACCAAATGAATTATAAACAGATAATAATTTTATCAGAATGGATCTCAGCCCAAATTTTCTATTAACAAAGATATATATATATTACTTTGTTAACAAAATCCAATGTTGGTAGCCCGCAAGCCGAGACATAATAGAATCCCACCTTATTAGCTTTCAAGCCCCGACATAATAAAATCCCACCTCAGTCTATTGCTGGTGCCTGCATAATAGAATCTCATCTTGATAACCCATAGGACCCAATATAATTGAATCATACTTTAGTTACTCACTAACGTCGGCATAACATAATCACACCTTGGTCGCCCACTAGTGCCAATATATCTAAATCGTATGTAGGTCGTCCACTAGTGTCAGCTTAACATCACATCACATCCTCTCACATTCTTTTAACCATCATACGCATTTTTTATGTGTTTTATTAATTAAAGCTTAATTAGACCCAATTTATAAATTACCAAAATGCCATAATGATAGGAAATAGAAATACTACTAAGTAAAAATGGATAACTTTCAAACATAACTAAATTATCAGAGATTGTACAAAACATTATTATAAGACTATAATCATACCAAGGCACAATTTTACATGATCTCGATTATTTTTATTCGATAAAAAATATTAATTTTGAGCCTTATAATATACAAGAAGTTATGCAATGAAAGTTCTAATAATATAAATTTATCCTTAATTTTTTAGTAAAAGAAATATAAATTTTATTGTATAAATCCCAAAAATATCAAATTATCAAAATTTAAGATAGGCAAAAAGATACCCACCCCAAGGAAGAAAACTTTTCCAACTAGCTCAATGGCTAAAAATTGCCCAAAGCGACTCAAAATCCTTCTTCTTCCTCTCCAAAACCTTCTCTTTCTCTCTCCTACTTCAATCGACTGCTTGATCAAATGCAATGGAATAGAAAAATTATTTTAATTTAAAATGTTGTTAATGGCCTAGCATTGTAACTCTTTCTCAAAACTCAAATTCTAGACCCGAAAGAGTTGTAATTCCACTATTTGTCGCCTGTACTGTAGCAACACTAAGGCACTTGAACATACAACACTAAGAAGCTCAAATGGAAATATTTCTTTTTTTTTTTTTTTGAAATTCATAATAAACACTACTTACTCATTCTAGAAATCACATAATCTTTTTCATACTTAAAAATTCTCCCAAAGATATACAAATGAGTTCAAGACTAAAAAATATAAAGATTTACCATTTTTTAATCAGTTCAACTAATATGAGTTGAAATTTGATCCTGGAAGTCTTACAACTCTCCCCTTAGAAAAATATCATATTCGACATTTCCAAATTAAAATTTTTTCTGGATATTGCTATCTCATATTAGATTATTTCTCCCAAGTAGCATCTCTAGCAATCCCACTCTTCCACCATATCTTAACCATAAAAATATGTTTACTTCTTAATTTTCTTACATCATACGCCTAAATATTATTTGGCACTTTTTTATAGTGTAAGTTCGGATGAACCTCAACATTGTCATCAAATAACCTCTTCCCAAAATTAGATACCCACTTCTTCAAAAAAAATTATGAAATATATTATGTATATATGACATATAATCAAGCAACAACAACCTCTAAGAAGAACTACAATCACCTTAAAATGCTCAATATACCTTAAACTCAATTTGCTAATTCTGTCAAATCTACTGACACCTTTTATAGTGCAGATTTTTATATAAATAAAATTGCCAACCTCTTATTCCTCCAACCTATATTTTTTATCATAATCTTTTGCCTATCATGTGCAGCTCTCAATCTTTCTCTAATCAAATGAATCTTTGATGAAGTCTGATTCACAAAAGCTAATCCTATCACATGTCTATCCACCACCTCTATTAAAGTTAAAGGGGTTCTAAACTTCCTAACGTATAGGACTTCTTAAGGAGGCATACCAAGATTAAAATTTTTTGTTATATGCAAATTCTATAAAAAGAATATAATACTCCCAACTACCATAAAAATCTAAAATATATAGTCACAAAAATCATCCAACTCCTGAATAGTCCTTTTGGATTTTTCATTTGTCTAATGATGGAAAGTCATACTTAATTATAATTTTATACCTAGTCCTTATTGAATATCTCTCCACAAATTAGAGCTAAATCGACCACCACGATCAGATATAATCACCTTCGGACACCATGTTATATGATAATATCATGGACATATAACTATACTTAATAATTAACTAGATCAATCTATAGAATCAGAATGAAATGTACTGACTTCATTAGTCAATCGATAACAACCCATAAAGCATCATGCGCTTGTCTTGATCTAAGAAAACCCATAACAAAATTCATTGTCACCTTTTTTCACTTCTATTATGGAATAGGTAATAATTGTAGAAGACCGTCTGATCTTTGATGCTTTACCTTTACCAACTAATAGGTCTCACATTTTAAAATAAATTTTACTATATCTTTTTTTCAATCCAAGCCACCCAAATATACCTTTCAAGTCTCCATACATCTTATTGTATCCTAGATGAATAGTTTAGCCTGAATAATGTGTCTCATGTAGAATCTCATGTCTCAGATCACCAATCGATGGAACACACAATCTATATTTGCAAAAAAATATCATAATAAGATAGATATAGTTCAGGTCTTTTTCTAGCCTTAATTTGACCACTCAAAGTCAGATACTCTATATCTAATTTTTGAGCTTATTAAATTCTTTCCTAAAGAGTATATAGAATAATCATCCGACCTAACAAACTTGGAGCTGTATAAGTGAATACCACTTATATCTCTAGCTTCTCCAAATATTAAATGAGAAGGTCTACAAAAATAAGTGACAAAATAGAAATACATAATGACTTCCTACTAAAAGCATCTTCTACCACATTCACCTTACTAGAATGATACTAAAAAGATAAACTATAATCCTTAATCAACTCTAAAACTTTATTTATCTCAAATTCGGATCATTCTGAGTAAAAATATACTTCAATATTTGATATTCAGTAAAGATCATGCATTTCACTCCATATAATTAATGTCACATTCGATGATATATATTAGAAGAATTACACCACTCTTTCATTTTAAACATTAAACTAGAACTTACCAATGAACAACATAAAGAATTATAACTATATTTTTTTCTTGTTCGAAGCCTCATAATAGAATCCTTA